ATTATGAAACAAGAGATTCCTCAAAACCCAACTTTTCTTCGCATAGAAACAAGATATACGTGGCGGAAACTGGAGCTAGTTGGCTGACAGTAGGACTGGCTTACCATAGACATGGTACATGAATCAAAGGCTTGACCATGACAATTACTCTAGCAGAGGCAGAATGTGGTAGATAATGCCTCGTGGAGGACAGATGGGGTGGCAGGGGTCGAGTAAAATACTTGAACCAGGGATCCTACGAAACAAAAGAGAGACTCTGATAAGGACTATAGAAGGAGGACTGCGTAACAATATGACAGACTCTGATCAACATTTCCAGCACAAGAGTGAAGGTGGATGAGAGCTGGTGAGAAAGCAAGCGTAGAGTGTGGAGAGTTCTCATGAAAGCCGCTCAAAATGGCACACCATACCACATTTAAATATGTTAGTAAAAAATAGTGATAGTGAAGACCTGATACGAGGATATAGGATCGGTGATTAGTCCAGAGAGGAAGGAGAGATACCACGGTTGTTTAGCAGACACTTGATCAAAAGATCGGCATAAATGGCCTCTTTGACGAGTTGTAGCGTGGTTCTAAGACTGGTAAGGCACATTGGGTATGCCGGCAAAACGTCCAGGAATGTACCACTTCCACAGTCCGACTAAGAATTATTATGAATACAATGGATTCCGGACTAGGTCTTCCTACCAATGTGACCAATTAGCGAAATCAAGGTCAAACAAGTTCTATCAAAGTCTTATTGTTTAATGGAACAATCAACTCGACTGATTCAGAATGTATATAATGGAGCCACTGCAAGCTAAATGGGACCCGCTTGTGACCACGGAGGCCAAACCCAAAAGAGTACCTAACCTCTGGTTACACAAGAATAGCGTGTGGCTTGTGAGAATTTGCTGTATCTTGGACCTAAGCGTTGACACAGCGTTCAGACAGAGCACCTCTCTTCACAAGTATCCTGGAGGCATATGCTGGAGAGGTTGCAGGGCTTCATCATTTGGATCAATCGAAAAATTGTTCCCTTGGATGGCCCGAATGGCCATCTTGTAGGTTTTATCTTCCAGGATGTGGACTTTGGGTTAAGGCACATGACGTGCATATGATTCAGACCTAATTAATGTATTTATTTTAATTGTATTCCAGGGCAAAAGGACTTTCTGTGGGAGGCAAATGATGGTAAGACAGGGAAATTAGACCGAACAATATTAAAAGATAAAGAGATGCAATTATTACTAATCTTTCTTAGAGGAGTTTCTGCCAATATTTGAGCAAATTTAACAGAATGAAACTGCTAAATTGAATGATATTGAGGCCCTCTGCTTCAGATAGTCTTACGAACATCATCATGTATCTACAAGAAAGTTAGCATCTCAGCATTTGCACTTTGTATCATATAAGGTGATTTATGCTTAAATTGCGATTCGATGGGTGAGTTCACTAAAT